ATCGTTTTGCTATGAACGTATGCTTAAGACCCTGACCCCAGCTTCTTTTGGTCACTTGAGGCTTCTTCCTGATTTCTTCACTATCTCCAAGGTCTTGCTTCTGCTTTATCTCTAACGGTAGCCGGTGGTCTGCATCCTGTTCTTGTTACACAATAAGCTATATATTTTATAACACTGTTACATTTTTGTTAGGAAAATGCTTGCCTAACTGTCTTGCAATGTTACTTTTAACATACCATTCTGCATTGTGGTTAGCAGCTTTGCTAAGCCACAGGTTATACTAGCCTTATATTCAGCTGCAAATCCAATGCTCCCCACGATCTAAATACTCTCATTCTAACACTATTAATTAACAAACATGACTGTGTAAAAGTGAAAAACTATTTAGTAAGTTTTCCTAAAATTATCATTGTTCCCCATGACCCTGAAATTTACTAAAATTGCTGTGCCAAAACAGTAGCTTAATTATTCCAATACATTTCTAGGTACAATTCAAAGAAATTATCTTGGCCTGTTTCAAAGTTGAAATCAGCAGTGGTACTTAAGATGCTGAGGTCTTGATCTGAAGACAACACTTCCCAGGAGGTGCTCAAAAATTCACTCTTCTTTGATTCAAAAGTTCCCCTAAGATCTAAACTAATGCAAGACCAAGTTATTTTCCTTAGTATGGAGAGGTGGGGAATATGGAATTTTACTGACCGATGTGAAGGAGTCTTATTATTACGTTTATATATATGCATGATTTTGTGTGAGTTTAGTAATTATAATGGTGGGGAGAACAGTACACTTTGATGACTTCAAAGTAAGTTAACTGTGCATGGGTGCCTTTAATTATGTAAGTTGAAATAAATATTTTTTAAAAGTTCTATTAAATATCAACAAATGGATTTATCAGAGAAGAGCTGCAGTGACTTACTGCAAACTGCAGGAGGAAAAAATTCTCTTAGGGGTCAGCAATTCTTGCAGTGTTAGCTGAGGGAACTAGCAGATTCTCAGCTGTAATGAATGAATGTTTGTATTTACTCAGACTTACACTGTCCTCAAGTCTTCAAGATAGTGCCCTAGATTTGCTGGGAGCATTTACACAAGGTGCTATTGTGCCATAGCATCTGGTGGCAAAATCTGTGACTGCCACTACGTCAATGTAGGAACGTGCTCCCCCATTATAGCACATTGCTAAGGTGATGTAGCAGCCAAAAATAACTGTGCATGGCCAGCATGACGCAGCATGAGTTGTTACTACACTGTTTTTAGTACTTTCAAAAGGAAGTACTAAATGGTGGTACAGTAACAAAGGTGCCACATGGCCATGTGTAGACACACCTACTGAAAGCTATACCAAGCTGAGAAAATTTCAGATTCTGTACATAGAAATAATTCTCAGCTCTCTTCAAATTGCATCCATGATAATGATTTAATAATATGAAGTTGTCATCTGTTTATACATAAATCTACTGAAACAGATTGTAAGTAAAGTCAATAATCTCCAAGAGAATGGAAAATTTCAAAAATATGTTAAACATTGTTGTATTAACGAGCTGTCATTAGTTTAGATTTTATGAAATCACCATTGAGGATTATTAAAATTAGAGTACCAGTCTTATTATTTCTAAAATTAGTACCAGTTTCAGTCAATTTTATCAGAAAGTACTCACATTTTTCCAACCAAGTGACGCTCTCAATAACTATGGTTTACTTACTTCTGTTCATTTTCTTAAGACTCCTGTGGTCAATCTACAATGTTGTCTAACTTGCATCTTTTCTCCTTTACAGGATGAAAACATAATGCGTTCCATGCAGCTCTTTGAAAATGTGATATAACGTGGCTAGCACTGCAATTAATGGACAAATGTGAACTATTCTGCAACATTTCCTAAAGCTGGATTTGTCACTTTTACCATAAATAAGATTGCTCAGCTTTACACCAAGACATGCATTATGCAAATAAGTCTTGTGTTATTATAAAGCTTCCCCCAAAAGGATTTTCCAATGTTTGTCCTTTTAAGATTGTGCATTTAGATAATGGGAGACTCAAAGTCAGGTTTTGCTCCACAACCTCTGAAAACAGGACCTGACATTTACCACCATTCCAACGCCTGTTTTATCTAGCTAATACAAGAGATAAAATTGTTGTTTTGTTATTTGTTTTTATTGAATTCAACTCTAAGATTTTAAATGTCTGTCTTAAATGTCAGCTATTTAATTTATACAGAAAAAATACCAAGCATTTCCCTTTCATATTTTTATGTTGTTAATAATCCTCATTTTTACACAATACTTTGAAAAATAATTGCTAGAATGTGCAATATATTTTGCTGCAATGGCCTCCCATTTTTATTTGGCTTTCTTCTCTTGCTCTTTTATTTTTTGGTCCAGCTAATTTATACATGAGGAAGGGCCTTTTTATAGTAGTAGTAGTAGTAGTAATAATAATAATAATAAAAATGACTGATTTCCATAGGTTTAATACCTACCAGTGGCAAACTTATGTCATTCTTACCTAAAAGTCTGCATTTAATAAATTTTCATGAAATTAGTATTTAAAGTATGTATAATTCTGGCTGGACTGTCAGCAACTTTTCTATTCAATATTAAGGAGCTGAATAGGTTTTGAGCTGAAATTTATTCATGAAGAAAATCAGTTTGGGTTCTAATTTTATTTCCATAATACCTGTACTACCAAATTTTACAAGGAAAAAGAAATAACATTATTTTGAAATATTCATCTCACTTCATTCATAGTTTCATTGTTGGTAGGGTCGGAAGGGACCTGAGCAGATCATCAAGTCTGACCCCCTGCCATGGCAGGAAAAAGTACTGGGGTCAAACAACCCCAGCAAGGTGTTCATCCAGCCTCCTCTTAAAGACCCCCAGGGTAGGAGCCAGCACCACTTCTCTTGGAAGTTGGTTCCAGATCCTAGCTGCCCTGATAGTGAAGTAGCGCTTCCTGGTGTCTAGTCTGAGTCTACCCTCTGCCAGCTTGTGACCATTATTTCTAGTCACTCCTGGTCATGCTCGGGGGAACAGGGACTCGCCCAATGCCTGCTGGTCCCCTCTGACTAGTTTGTAACAGGCCACTAGATCCCCCCTCAGCCTTCTCTTGTGGAGGCTGAACAGGTTCAGGTCCCGTAGCATCTC